TATATATATATATAAAAGTAACCTCCAACTAGTAGCCACACTTTTTAATATAAAAAGGGGCCCCCCTCTTCCAATTGCCTCTGTGTGTGTGTATGTGTGTGTATATATAACAACCCTAGCCACCAAGTTTGACTCCTATTCAAAGACTTTAATACTATATTACTCATCAAGTCCTCGATCTTTCCATATAATAAATTTTAGTCCTTGAGCCATATTATTCTTGCAACCCATGTATTATTTGGTTCAATCCAAGTCCTTCACTTTCTAAATTATTCAATTTGACCTCCAAACATTTCAATCTTCGATTCGTGGTCCGAAGTAACTATTGAATTTTTACAACTTGGTCCCCAACTTTTGGATTTCGCTCTTTTTTGCTTCATTCCTTCAATTCCCTTTTCATTCATAGAATTTACCTATTAAAAATAATAAACAACAATTTAGAATATAATTTGTCAAAAGAACCATCAAATATCTTTATTTTAAGGTATCGAATAAGTGTATAAAATAACTTATCATCTATACACTATAACAACAGCATAGATTTAGCCTTACCGTGTATGTATTTCCTAAATCAGCTCCTCATTCACCTTGTATATACACGAAATCTCTATCACTAAAATGTGTGAGAAATTCTTCATTGAAGTCAAAGAATATCTATTCCTTCACAATCTGTTCTTTCATAAGGTAAAGAAACAAAGAAGACTTGATTTCTTTGAAATCACGTAAATCAACAACCGACTAACAAATAACTTATATTCTTGTGAGTTGTGACATTTGTTACACCTGAAGAAAAGGATAACCTTGTAATTCACAAACATGACCTGTTACAGGATCTCTATGTAAGATGTTTGAGAATAAAATCTAGCTAACACTCAATCCGTCTACAAGTTGTCTTTTATTTTTATTTTTTAAGTATATATCAATTAAAGAAATACAGGATAGAGTTTAGAAACACGAATGACTCATGAAGCAATGTTTTGTCTGTCATTAAATTCTCTTCTTATAACTTCAAACACGAGTTCATTCCATGTATCAACTGGAACTGGCATGCACCGGTGCAAGCAATCCTGAGGTGTGGGCCTACCATCTAGGCCCCTTTTTAGTGATCTTATTTGGATTCGGGCTTCAATATGAACCTGGATGTCCATCATGGTGACATGAAAATGCTTCTGTTATATTAATTAGTTTCATTTTTATTTGTTTGCTTTTTTCTTCATAGCCACCTGCTTCTCTTGCATTATATTTGTAAAACCATTCTCGACTAATTCACCATCCAAGGCTGGCCTGACCTTTCCAGTGCATACAGCCTCTATGTTTATATTCTATTGTTGTCGATTTTATCCCGCAAGCGAACGGATCGTAACAAGTAGTAAAGTGGACCTTTTGAGTCCGGATTATCGTTCCCACGAGGACTATACTTTTAATGCGCAATTTATTATTTCTAACTTCTATTTGACGAAAATAAACAAAAAAAAATGATTAAATGTGATTTTTATTCTAAATACTTAAAAATGCGATTGGATGCAACGAAAAGTGATTGAGAATTCAAACAATAAATGGACGTTAGGGCGGAACAATTTCACCTATTGGTCACCTTTACTTCATAAATCAAGATTCATAAAACCTAAGGTAGTGTTCGGTCGAATTCTTCTATTGTATTCAACTTACCCTTCTCGAGTTCTCGTTGAGCCTATTTAATTAGTTCAATTCCATATCTCTATGCAAATTAAATTTAATTAAACGAAATACTGGTTGTAAGAATTCACACACGACCGCAGCAATCAATATAACTATCTCTACACGTTATATCAATTTACCGAATTTTAACATGTGGTCTAAACAAATAATCCTCATTTCTACGCAATCATTGTTCACAAATCATCTAATTAGTGATCAAGTAATTAAATGCATTAAGAACAACATTAAAATCAACACATAAAATATAAAAGTACTAGAATCTCAATTACATGAAATAAAGGATTCCAAAAGATTACATTGTTCGCCCTAAAATCAAATTTAACTACTCATAATAATGGAAGAAAAACGAGAAATTATGGAAGACGTCACCGAGAATTGGCGGAACATTAATAATTTTCGAAGTAAATCTGCTGTTTACCGTTTTTCTATCCAGTCGTCCATTGCCTTGCTGCTACCAATTCAATCTCTTAACAGCTGCAATAATTGACTTTGGAGAGAACCCAAGCTACTGCCAATTAATTCCTCAAACAATCGGTTGAATTTCTGTGTGTTTTCATATTAATTTCAACACCCAGCAGGCATGTAATTATTCTTCTCAAAGTTGCTGCCTCCAATTAATTGTAATCCCAGCTGGAGTCTCCTCAATTCTGCCTACCAAGCTGCCGTCTATTTGTGTGTGTAAGAATATATAATGATAATGGCTGCCCTTTTTTTATTTCTCTCCTCCAGCCTGCCGCAGAAATTGACCCTCCTTCCCTCTAGGTTTGTACGTGTATATATATATATATATATAAAACAACCTAGCCACCAAGTTTGACTCATACTCAAAAACTTTAATATTATATTACTCATCAAGTCCTCGATCTTTTCATACAATAAATTTCAGTCCTTGAAACATTTTATTCTTGCAACCCATGTATTCTTTGGTTCAATACAAGTCCTTCACTTTCTAAATTATTCAATTTGACCTCCAAACATTTGAATCTTCGATTCATGGTCCGAATCAACTATTGAATTTTTACAACTTGGTCCCCAACTTTTGAATTTCACGAAGTAACTATTGAATTTTTACAACTTGGTCCCCAACTTTTGGATTTCGCTCTTTTTTGCTTCATTCCTTCAATTCCCTTTTCATTCATAGAATTTACCTATTAAAAATAATAAACAACAATTTAGAATATAATTTGTCAAAAGAACCATCAAATATCTTTATTTTAAGGTATCGAATAAGTGTATAAAATAACTTATCATCTATACACTATAACAACAGCATAGATTTAGCCTTACCGTGTATGTATTTCCTAAATCAGCTCCTCATTCACCTTGTATATACACGAAATCTCTATCACTAAAATGTGTGAGAAATTCTTCATTGAAGTCAAAGAATATCTATTCCTTCACAATCTGTTCTTTCATAAGGTAAAGAAACAAAGAAGACTTGATTTCTTTGAAATCACGTAAATCAACAACCGACTAACAAATAACTTATATTCTTGTGAGTTGTGACATTTGTTACACCTGAAGAAAAGGATAACCTTGTAATTCACAAACATGACCTGTTACAGGATCTCTATGTAAGATGTTTGAGAATAAAATCTAGCTAACACTCAATCCGTCTACAAGTTGTCTTTTATTTTTATTTTTTAAGTATATATCAATTAAAGAAATACAGGATAGAGTTTAGAAACACGAATGACTCATGAAGCAATGTTTTGTCTGTCATTAAATTCTCTTCTTATAACTTCAAACACGAGTTCATTCCATGTATCAACTGGAACTGGCATGCACCGGTGCAAGCAATCCTGAGGTGTGGGCCTACCATCTAGGCCCCTTTTTAGTGATCTTATTTGGATTCGGGCTTCAATATGAACCTGGATGTCCATCATGGTGACATGAAAATGCTTCTGTTATATTAATTAGTTTCATTTTTATTTGTTTGCTTTTTTCTTCATAGCCACCTGCTTCTCTTGCATTATATTTGTAAAACCATTCTCGACTAATTCACCATCCAAGGCTGGCCTGACCTTTCCAGTGCATAATCCTCTAGTGTTCCAGGATCCACCCTCATTTTGATCAGGTGAAAAGCCAAGGACAATTATTAGACCCGTGTAATTCCGATGTGTGAATAAGGCAGTAACAATTGATTCGACGAATATTCCAAATGCTTCAATGTTGTTGATCTTCTTTTGTCTAGAATTATCCTACCACCACAATTGTCCTACAATCTCACTGTTCAATAACTGACTGCTTCGCAAACCAATGGCCAGAGAGGACTATCACATCAAAATCCATAATATACTGCAAGAATACTTCATCAGGTACATCAAGGTGAAGCTTAACCACACCAGTGGGAGCAAAGTCAAACGGCTCAGATGTTCGGTGAACAAGCCAGGAGGACCATATGTAAACTATCATTGTAGATGTAGATCTGAAATAATAATGTTGCATCCTTCGATTTCCTCTGTTTTTCGGATTTTTGGAACCTCGACCTGAAAGAATACTAGATTTATGAATTGGAAAGCCATTATATGTATGCGCAAAGTGAAATGATACCATGCTCCATATGGATGGGTCCATATGTACTTTTATACTACTATTGGAAACAATTAAATAATTCTGGCCAAAAAAACTTTGAGGGCTTAAAAACCAACCTTTATAACTCAAACACCTATAGAGACAAATGTACAGTCAAATAGTAGTTATGTGTGTCCAGAACTACTTTTATCAGGGGTCACTAAGGCTCTATTCAGGGGCTTAAAAAGCCATTAAAACAAAAAGTACTGAGCTAATAAGATGGAATTTGGAAAAGGAAGTCACCCACTACAAACACACACAAAAAAGGAAGCAGGACTAACCTTTGGAAAAGGACAGGGCAATATGGGAAAAAAGAACTAAAAACAGTTATCACAGGTCAAAAACCATAAAACCATCAACATGCCAGTCTTGGTGGTTTAAGAATGGGTTAGGAATCATTGTTTAACTCTTATATTATATAGTTTTATTCTTATTCCCCGTTGCATTATATTCAGCATGGAATTCACCATCCCGGTGGTTCATTTGTTCATTTCTTAGGTGCTTAAACTATATAAAGGAAAGAGTCTGCAATAATAGTGGGTTTGGGTCTAAAGGGTTTCCTTCCAATGCATCGTTCTTTCTCCAAAAAGAATTTTTCAACACACTTGCTTGGAGAGGGCTGGAATCAACCTCCAGATTTTTCATAAATCATTCATTTACTATAACGGAATAAACATGAATAGCAGAAGTAACACCCCCACGCCAAAAAAGGAAAAAAAAAAAAAGAAAAAGGGAAAGAGAGAAAGAGAGAAAGAAGAAGTAAAAAATAAGACACCAATGAAATTGTTCTAGAGGGCTTAATAGAGCTTAAAAGGGAAAGTTGTCAGAGGACTAATAATTGACAAGAATAATAGGAGACGTGTTAAAAAAAACCAGAAAGAAGTACGCCTAAAATAGATGAAGAGACTAAATAAATAGATGTACAGCATTGATTCTGTCTGATTTCGAGCTACTGAATCACCAATGAAAGGTAATGTCTTTCCTCTCATTAACTCCAGAAACTTCTTTGCTCCAATTCTCGTAATCTTTATCAGGTCTTCCATTCCCCTAGCATTTTTGCATCTGAGTGATGATAGGGCAGGAGCCAGGAGTTATTTGAGTACGATGGTCCAGTTGATCCGTAAATCCACTTTCCATGGTAAGGATCGCATCCTGTGACTTGATCAAGATATAGCCAAGTTCAAGTCATATGTAGAGTGGATTTCTACTCAATTTTTATTTTATTTTCTTATGACTTGAAAGCAAGCCACATAGGATAATTATGCAAGTTCTCAGCTCAAGGCATAGAATTCATTTTGTGCGGCAATAAAGTCGCGAGCATAATGTGCAAGTATCCAAAATTCAATAGTGTCTTTCATAATCCAGTGATGATGTATGCCATCAACTGCCCGTGTCTTTCATATATGTGCATGCGCAAACCTATACACTCACTTATGTTAACCATGCTCAGCATGTTTAAATGAGATTTATAAATCACAATTGCAAAAGTTGTTGCAAAGGATATTGCAACAAGTGATTAATGTCCTTTCATGAAAGAAAAATACAAATACCTTAACAGGATGAAACCTTTTGAAAAAAATAAAAATAAAAGTAACCTAGTGTGGTGTTAAGACTCCTTCCTAATTAGTTAATATAGCGTACCTTATGCTTTCTTGAGTGTAAATTATTTTTTCACAAGAAAATAGCTTTATGTAATTTGTCCTCCTCCACTTATTCATTAGATGAGTGATGCCACACTTACATTAGGTGTCCATCCCCTCACATGAAGGGGGATCCACTTCAAATAAAATATAATTTATCCGAAGTGGTCCCACTCATATGGACACCATATTATGTACAAATAGTATATTTCTCGCTAGATATATCAATAACTTGCATATGTCCAGGGGGGGGGGGGGGGAAAACTTATGAGACACTGTCCAAATAATAATAAGAAACATAGCCTAATAATAAACACATAAAACAAATTATTTTCCTCCAAAAGAAGTTAACAAATCAGATAAGGAGACAAAAAGACTCCAAGTGGAGCTATTAAGTAAATCACAACTAATTGCGAAACCTAAACTCCAATCTTATATATATTAGAAAATGTAAAATGCAGGAGTTAAAGACATTATAAATAACTATCAGAGAAGACGAAATAATGGAAGCATATGATAAAATTGCAAGATGAAAATGAGCCAGTACCAGAATCAACTACATCAGGCTGACTTTGTTTGTTGCACTAGGAGAAGATGTCACATCATCCTTTAATTTCTGTCTGTGTATTATTGGATGGGGCATTTTCATCATCCTATTCCTCCGTGACTTTGGTCGAAGCCGAACTTCTACTACCCGTCTCTTTCTGCGTTACATTAGAATGCGGTAGTTCATCCTTCAAATTCTTGGGTTCCTCTTGCCTCGAACTTGACAATTCATTCTTATTTTGAGAATCAAGAGCCTGTTTTTTGTCAACCACAGTTTCTTTGCCATCACCTCCATCGATATATATAGATCCACAATCATCGTACTGAGAATTAGACCCAGAAAACAGGTTCATTAGGGTTGATAATGAATCAATCTTTCTGGACTGATACACACTATAGAAATACCCACGAACCGTGGACCCAATGGGTTGGGAGACCAATATGGTTGAAGCAAGAATTAAGAATAAAGCCAGACCTCCCACTGAAGCTATAATTGATGAAATAATCTTTGGATTGGCCGTTCTTGGTTGTTCTTTAACCATAGCTTCCTTTCTAAGCTAAACAGTTTCTACAAAATCCACATACAAGATCTGTGAAGAAATTGAAATTGAAAAATAATGGCTTTGTTTTCATTGAATAATGGTGAGGTATATATACACGTGCAAGATATGATTGATTTGTTGACCAAATCACAATTATCAGCGAATCAAATATTCTAAACTTACCTAATTACCTAATCTATGGAATTTGTTGTCAATTAAAACATTTACAACATCTAATGAGATAATTATTGAGATACACAATTAATTCCTCTAATATGCGCCCCCCCCCCCCCCCCCCCCTTTCTAAGCTAAACAGTTTCTACAAAATCCACATACAAGATCTGTGAAGAAATTGAAATTGAAAAATAATGGCTTTGTTTTCATTGAATAATGGTGAGGTATATATACACGTGCAAGATATGATTGATTTGTTGACCAAATCACAATTATCAGCGAATCAAATATTCTAAACTTACCTAATTACCTAATCTATGGAATTTGTTGTCAATTAAAACATTTACAACATCTAATGAGATAATTATTGAGATACACAATTAATTCCTCTAATATGCCCCCTCAAGATGGAGCTCATGTGGAGAGTCCAATCTTGATCTTCAAAACTTGAAAGCGAGTGCGTGGAAGAGGCTTGGTCAAGACATCGACTAGTTGATCTTCTGAGGACACATGGGCGACACGTAAAGCTCCACTTTGTACTTGATCCTGAACAAAATGATAATCAATTGCAACATGCTTCATTCGTGAATGGAAGACATGATTGGAGTAAAGATGAGTTGCATCAACATTATCACAATAGATAACTGGAGTAACATGAATACAAATCCCAAGTTCAGTGAGAAGAGAACAAATCCATCGTAACTCAGTAGCTGTAGAAGCGACAGAGCGACATTCAGCTTCAGTGTAGGAGTGGACAACCGTGCCTTGTTTCTTGGAGGACCACGAGATTGGATTTTAACCAAGGTAAACAATATAGGCACTAGTGGAGGTGTAGTCATCCTTATTACCGGCCCAGTTAGCATCGAAAAAGGCATGAAGAGATAGAAATGTATGACGGTGCAAGGCAAGACCATGATCAGTTGTACTAGAAAGATAGCGAAGCAAGCACTTGACAGCATTCCAATGATCAATAGTAGGTTGATGCATGTGCAATATTGGAGAGTGAGGCACAAATATTGGAGACTTCCAACAACTGTCCTGTATTAAGAAGGATCTCAAAGCAATGCCGAAAAGAACTGTAAGTGTTGGCTCGGTGGCAAGTGGAGTGGTGACAGATTTGACCCCTGTCATATTTGTGCGAGCGAGAAGATCTGTGATATATTTTCGCAGAGAGAGAAATAAACCAGTGAAAGTAGTGGCAACTTCAACACCAAGAAAGTAAGTCAAGTCACTAAGATCCTTAATGGAAAATCTTTTGCCAAGAAGATCAATAAACTGTTGAACTTCAGTGGCATTACTTCTAGTAATAATTATGTCATCAACATATATAAGGAGATAGACTAGGTTATCGTTAGTGCTGAAAACAAAGAGTGATGTGTCCGCATGAGAGTTTGTAAGCCCAGAAGCTACAATAAATTGTATAAGCTCATGATACCAGGCCCGTGGTGCTTGTTTGAGACCATATATAGCCTTGCGAAACTTGCAGACATGTGTGGGATTATCACGATCAAGAAAACCTGGTGGCTGTGCCGTGAAAACATCTTCAAAGAGATGACCTTGTAGAAAGGCATTGTTGATGTCAAGTTGAGGAAGAGACCACCCTCGACTAGCAGCAAGACTGAGAACCAGGCGAATGATGGTGGGTTTGACAACCGGATTGAATGTGTTATGATAATCAACACCAAGACACTGATGGAAACCTTTAGTAACTATTCGTGCTCTGTACCAGTCAATTGAGCCATCAGGTAAACGTTTTATTCTAAAAATCCATTTACAACCGACAATATTTTGCGTTGAATCGGGGGACAAGTTCCCACGTTCCATTCTGCACAAAAGTAACGTACTCCTCAGACATAGCCTGATGCCATTTAGGATCTTTGAGAGCTTGGGTCAACATGTGTAGTTCAAGTTGATAGTCGAGGTGATGGTAGTAGTAAGATTAAGTTTTTGGATGGGTTTATGGATGTTGTTTTTAGCATAGGTGGTCATGGTATGGGTGTTGGTGAGCTGGTTTAGAGGAGGGAAGTCTGGATAGAGTAGTGAGGAAGTAGAGGGTGGATCTTGTGGGGTTATTGTTGGTGTTGGTGAAATGTACTGGGCTATTGGATGGCGGGGCTCGATTGATCGAAGTTTTTCTATGAAGAAGTGGGGTTTCGGTTACGACACGTGGAGTTTCGGAGTATGTGCGATGGATGGAGAATGTGCAGTAGTCAACCATAGTAGGAAGAAATATTGATGATAGAAACCAATTTGGGAGTGTTTCTAGACTTGATCGACTAAGATAACTTTGAATGGAAAGACAGATTCCACAAATTTGACATGACAGGATGTATAGATTTTGGAAGTGGAAGGATCAAGACAGAGATAAGCACTTTGGGTGAGGGAGTACCCAACAAACACACAAGGAATGGATCGAGACTTAAGTTTATGACTAGAATAAAGGGAAAGCCATGGATAGTATAAACAACCAAAGATGCAGAGTTTTGCGTAGTTTGGTGGTGAGCGAAAAAGGGACTCGTAAGGAGAGGAAAGGGAAAGTGTGGGTGTGGGCATGCAATTAATGAGATACATAGTGGTTGCAAAGGCATAGTTTCAGTATATGAGTGGAAGTGAGGCGTGAGTGAGCAGAGACAAACCAGTTTCAACAATATGTCGATGTCGACATTTGGAGAGACCATTGTGTTCAGGTGTATGTGGGGAAGATGTGAGATGAAAAATTGCATGAAGAGACAAAAATTGATCTAATGCTTGATATTCCCTACCATTATTGGTGTAAAGAGTGACAATGGAGTGTTTGAAGTGATTTTCTACAAGTGCTTTGAAACAAAGAATGACATCACAGACATGAGATTTCTTCTTTAACGGGTAATACAAAACATAACGTGTAAAGTGACCAACAAAAATAACATAATACTTGAAACCATCAACAGAATAAACGGAGAGGTCCAAACATCTGAAAATATGATTTGTAAGGGGTGAGATGAAACAATCGAACATGATTTGTAAGGGGTGAGATGAAACAATCGTAGACGTAGGAAAAGGAAGCTTGTGACTTTTATTGCTTAAACACACATTACAATGAGAGTGTTGTGACTTAAAATAAGGTGAAGAAAATGTTGACATAATATGTTGAAGAATAGGCGATGATGGATGACCTAAACTGCAGAGCTACTTGGAGGAAGTGGTCTTGACGCTGGAAAAGACAATGAGTGGAGAAGACATTGTTGGAGAGGAGGTTGGCCACACATAGACTCTATCTTTAGTGTTTCCCGTCAAAAGAATTGGCCCCGTGCTCAGATCCTTTACGTGAAAAACAGTGGGTAAAAATTCAATAGAAACATGATTAGTATTGCAAAATTAATAGATAGAAATAACGTTCTTTTTCATGTTAGGTATGCAAAGAATATTACGTAAATTAAAGGTGTGAGCTGGGATAGGAAGAGTGGTAGAACCGGTATGGGTAATGTAAAAACACGAGCCATCGTCGACCATAACGTCATCAGACCCTGCATAAGTAGTGTGAAGTGAAAGATTATTCAAATCTGTGGCGACATGGTGTGATGCCCCACTATTAAGTAGCCATGTGGAGGTTGTAAAGTGTGCACGCGGTTGCCATGGAAAAGCAGGACGTGGAACCTTTGGGCGTGCTGCTGACGGAGCCGATGAGGATTGGGTGTTGACAAGTCGATAAATAGGGCATCATTTGACAGTGTGTCCTTGAGCCCCACATCCTTGGTAATACCTAAGATATGGCCGTGGTGGAGGACTGGCATTACGAAGAGCATTGGATTGTTGATTATAAACGGTAGATGTGGAAGGACGCCAAGATTGATTGTTGTGTTGATTGACAGAATTGGCAATGGTCGGAAAGGGTGATGGTGGTGCGTGTGATTGTTGGAGAGACGCTTCCTTGTTGATGAGTTTTTCATGAATTTCATCAAAGGAGATCAACGTTTTGCAAATATTAACCCCGTTGACAATTCCTTTGTATTCCTCGCCAAAGTCGTCAAGAATTTTATCGATGAGATCTTCTTTATCAGTAGGTTTTCCAAGAAAAGCAAGTTCATCAGCCCGATTCTTAATAAATTGCATATACTTGGAGATCATCTTAGAGCCCTTGACACAGTTTTTCAATTGTTCCTTGATCTGTTTAATGTGACCACGGATGGTTTGGTATAGGTATTAGCTAAGGTGGTCCAGGCCTCCTAAAAGGTGGTGTCGTGGGCAAGTAAATGTTGGATGGATAGAGAGACTACACCAAGGAATGCACTAAACAGGAGATGATCCTGGCGCTGAATTTGGAGCCGACTTACCATCAATGGTGACTGTTTGTGTGGGACTGGGGTGAGAAGCATCAAGAAAGCCATGTAGATCATATCCTTCTAATAGACTTCTGATTTGGAGGCTCCACGTGATGTAGTTGGTGGTGGTCAGTTTTGTGATGTTTGTAGTGTTGATGGTAACATGAAGATTATTTGGGTCTTGGGTAATTTAAATGGTGGTATGAGCATTGGAAGATGCAGAGGTATCTTCAAAAGCCATTTGAAGAAGGAAGTGGAGAATTGTGGGGAAAAAAAGAAGAGAGAAGGTAGAGAAGACAGGTCAGAAATGTGGTCGCTCTGATACCATGAAGAAATTGAAAAATAATAGCTTTGTTTTCATTGAATAATGGTGAGGTATATATACACGTACAAGATGTGATTGAGTTGTTGACCAAATCTCAATTAATAGCCAATCAAATATTCTAAACTTAGCTAATTACCTAATCTATGGGATTTGTTGTCAATTATAATATTTATAACATCTAATAAGATAATTATAGAGATACACAATTAATTCCT